TTCTGTTCAGCGTCTCCATTTTGAGTGGGATCCTCTGCAGCACGCTGGCCGTGCTGAAGTTTATGCTGGGGAAGGTGCTGACCAGCAGAGCGCTCGTAACCGACGGGTTTAACTGCCTCGTGGGAGGCGTGATGGGCTTCTCTATTCTTCTGAGCGCGGAGGTGTTCAAGCATAACTCAGCGGTCTGGTACCTGGATGGCAGCACAGGTGTACTCATCGGCCTTATCGTATTTGCCTACGGGGTCAAACTCCTCATCGACATGGTGCCCAGGGTGAGGCAGACGCGCCACTACGAGATGTTTGAGTGAAGGGCCTGAGCGCCTGTCTGCATCTGCATGAAGACATCAGGACGACGAGAGGGTCCCACACGGCGGACGGTGCCAGTATTTAGCTAAACATCCACTTTCTTATTTGGAGAGTTTGTGTTCACGGGAACAGGCGTGCCCAGCAGGTTGGTCTGCACTGCTCCCCTCGCCCACCTCCCCCGTCACCCCATCAGGACGCCGTGCACAGGAGGGGACACTGGTTTTCCCATGCCCATTGGGAACTGGCTGTTTCTGTTTTCTGGAGTAAAAAGGTTCCTGTGGGTCGGGTAAGGTCTCTGCTTGGCAAGAAGTTCTGAAACAGAGCCACTGACCACACCCGCCTCCTCTGGGCATGGAGCAGCTTGGGCCCTCGGAGCTCATCTCTCCGGCAGAACTGAAGGGAAGACCGTGTGTACTCTTCTGTCCCTCACCCTTCACATGCCCAGAACCGTCAGTGTCACACTTCCTAATTCCTATCACTGTATTTCATTAGTTCCATACTGTTTTACTAATCCAGAATCTAAACGGATTGATTCAAAAGGAGATCGTTCTATTTTTAAAGTATTTAGTGACGTACGTGTGAGCTTTGCATGGACGAACTAAGCACATGACCGTTTCTTGTACATTCAGAACCTGCACACACATGTAAAAACAGGACCCGTTTTTGACAGATGTGAAACCATCATTTATTTGTAATAAATAATTACACGATCTAAAAAAAAAAAAAAAAAAAAAAGAACCCACTGTGGCCCTCGAGTCAAAAAGTTTGCCCACCCCTGACCTAGACACTCTGATTCCCGAACCCAGGATTTTAACAACTTCTTTTTAAAAATTTTTTTTTCTTTATTGATTAAGGTATTACATATGTGTCCTTAGAGCCCCATTCCCCGCCCCGCCCCCCACCCCCCCACCTCATGCCCTCACCCCCCTGGTGTCTGTGTCCATTGGTTAGGCTTATATGCATGCATACAATCCTTTGGTTGATCTCTCCCCCTTACCCCCACCCTCCCCTACCTTTCCTCTGAGGTTTGACGGTCTGATTGATGCTGTCTTATTTCTCCTTATATCCTTTTCAATCCCCTTGCCTGCAGGAAGTTACTCGCCAGAAACTAAGGAACATTAGTCATAATTTCTAACATGAGTAGTAATTTCTGTGGTAGTCTAACACTGCCACCTGGCGGTGAAAAAATTTAAAGCAGCTTCCAACGTTCTGGCCCAAATTGCATTGCATGAAATGCTCACTGGCCTTTCCCCCTAATTACACCAATAGGGTCAGGTAATTATGAATTCTGCTTGATCCTGCTTGGAACCAAATACAAGTCATATGAGAAAAGAACAGAACAGCAAAACTTTGAGCTGTTCTGAATGGATCTAAATTTTGCTGATTAAAATATGGAACTCACCATAGATGATGCTAGTATCCATTTTGTGATAATATATATTGAACAAGCTTTATGTTTTCAAAACTTTTGTATTTTCTAGGCCTAACCTGGTCTTATTCTGTTTTGAAAACCGGTTTCTCCTGATGCCCTTGTTCTGATAACTCATTCCAGACTCTGCTGTTCAAATTTAGGATTAAAAAATAACACCAGATTAATTAGCAATTTCTAACCATTAACTGCTCTTTGAAAGAGAAAAGGAGAAGCTGTCCAGAAGAACTGGCTCTTTTGCTTTATCATCTCTGAGCTTGCAGTTTCCTAGGACTTAATGTGGCACCTCTCTCCACAGTTTGCATCCACCATCCAGTATGTTTTACCACAAGTTCAGAAGTGATGCAGCATAACATGCTCAAAAATAAGCTAGAAAATCATATTGAAATCACCTGCTTTTAGAACTGGATGACACCAGATCACACCACTTGTGTGTATTTTCACAGGGGGACGATGGGAAATCCTGGACGAAAGGGATGGCTGAATTGACTTTTGGAGGGTGATGGTCGTAGTCAGAAAGTACTCATCACAGCTCCCTGTAACCTGCAAGGACATGGCCAACGTGGGGCTTGGGCACTGAGCCTGACCCTGGGGTGGGAGTTCTGATTGACAGCTTTAACAACGATGCTTTTTGGTCTTGGATCAGCCGCTTTCAACCACAACATCGGCATACTGCCAATGATAGGTTGCTAATAAGTCTAGAACCACTACTTACAAATGCTTTTCCTCAAGCAATTTCAAACTAAAAGAAAAG